GGACAATTGAAAGATAACACAGGTCAGATGGAATAATATAAATGCAGTTTCTTCAGCACTTATTTTTATTTATATTTATTTAAATTTTTTCTTAGTTTTTTAATTCCAGCTTAAGAAAAGATAAGTGCTAAATGTTTATATGGGGCTTGGTGTGCTAAATATTTAGTTGGTGTTCAAAGCATATTGAAAGAATAAGTGAACATCACTGGTCATATACAAGAAGTTTTGGATTTCCTTCTCTACAAGTGTGGATTTATTAAAGTTCTATTCTCCAGCTCCTAACTCAGGGGCCTACTCTAGTGGAGGTAAATGGACCAAGCAAAGAAGATCTATCATACTTTGGGTAGTGTGTAGTGGCAGCAATATTCTGCTTTCCACTTCTACTATGAGCAAAGCAGAATGAAACACAGTCTCTAAATAAAAATCACAGATTTCATCAGAGAGGCTTATGTTATGTTGAATAAACAACAGAACTTACAGAAAGAAAAAAAAAAAACAAACCAGGAAAACAATGGGAAGGTCTAATATCTATTTAAATCAACAAAGTATTTTTAAGACATTAATGAGCTCAGAAATACAATTTGTCTCTAGCTAGGGGTGAAATGCAAAATAATAATATGTTTAGATTTTGAAGAATATAACCTTTTCCTTTTAAACAATAGTGTTATCTGTATTACAAGAGGAAAAATAGTCTTCATATCTTACCTGTTTAAATCAAATTTAAACAGCAAGATGGTAGGCATTCAGCAACAAACATGTTTAGAGACATTAATTTAATATGAAGTTAATATTTCTGATTTTCCAAAGTGTTTTGCAATAATGATCACTTAAGTATCCATTAAGTTTATAAAAGCCTCTGATTACTCATTATTTTTCTGAGAAGAAATGTCTAAAGAATATTGCTTGGGCTATTTAGTGGAAACTAAGAGAAGGAACAAACTATTACTGCTGTCCAAACTCTAGTCTCCCACATGCTTTATGATTGTCTTAACGTTGTTTCATTTATGATCAAATTGGTTCAAAACTTCAGTAAATATGCTTAACATCTTGGTTAGCATGGTGGTTTAGATTGTTATTTCAGTGTATATGTATATAGATATATATACACATATGCTATATCAAAATGGTATAATTAGGATCAACCTACTCTTAATTATTTAATGGGTTTCAGATTTTCTGCATCCTGTTTCTAAAGCATTTGCTTCAGTATGGAATATAAGTAGGATCATTAAAAATAAAACTAAGTCTCTGAAACAAAGAGACCAAACTGGTGTGAAAACATCTCAATTAACATTTTTTATTACTTGCATGTCTTTTTTTTTTCTTGATAATATTTATTTGAATGTAGCAGTCATGCCTTTCCTTGTTCCCAGGAGAAACATTGAGCAGATAAGTGGGAGGTTAGAGCAGGATAAGTTTATCTGCACAGCAGAGAGAGCAAGTGGAACAAGAGTTTCAGCTCCCAAGATCAAAAATTAGACAAAGTATTAAAAATCAGTTTACCTTCAAGAAGAAATAAATAATTATTTCCCTTTTATACTCTTGCTTTGGTTTAGATAAAGTTCTTTTTTCTTCATGGTAGCTTCATATGATGGTGCTATGCTTCAGATTTCTGATTCCCTACAGGGAGTGGGCAACTAACGGTCTGGGGTTTGGCTGCCTGTGAACTTTAAGCCACAGCACCTCCCAAAATAACACAGCAAATTCTTAAGTATTTCTTTCTCTTTTCTTAACCCTTCCTGTTTTGTTTCTGTTTTGGTTTGGGGTGGTGGTGGTGTTTATTTGGGTTATTTGACTGGGGTTTTTTTGTTTCTTTAGTTTTTTCTTGTTTGGTTGGTGTTTTGGCTTTGTTTAGGCATTGTTTGTTTGTTTGCTTTCTTGTTTTGCTGTTCTGTTGGTGTTTTGTTGTTTTTTTTTTCTGTAAAGGAGAGGATAATTAGTTTAAAGGGGAAATCTTACTGCAGTTAATTGTTTCTTTTTTAAATCTCATATTCCAAAAATAAACTTAGTGTCTTGTCTAAGGGGCAGTTTTGCTGTCTGCTAGGCATAGAGAATTTAAAATGGATGCTAGACTCTTCATAAGCACAACCAAACCCTGGAATATTAAACCCAGGGCACTGGGTTTTGGGGGTCACCTTTCGTTATTCTTTGCACTCGGACCAGACAAGCAGTATTCAAGTCAGAGAATAAATGACTACTGACCAGATACACACCTAAGCTCCAAATTTTTTAGGCATTTGGGACAGAGAGACCTAGAATGTGCCCAGCAGGCTCACAGTGGTATTTCTTCATCCTTCTGATGTAAAGTGTAGGAACACTGAGCTGAGAAAGAAGGTTAGTGATTAGGGTACTGGTGCTTAAAATTGCTTCATTACTTCTGAAGGCCTGGAAAAATAGAGGTTGGAGGAGAGATGCATGGTATAATTTGCCTTCTGTCCAAATTTTTCTTATGAAAAATGAACACTTTGCTGTCACAAGTGCAGCAAAATTTTGATTGTAAATTCCAACAGGAAAAGAAAACTGAGCTGAATTAAATTCTCCTAAAAATCCTGGTTCTCCATACATATTACACTTCTCTGCTAAGTCCATACCAGCTCCTAATGCTAGATGTGGCTACACCCACACAGCTTGCCATAGCATACCTTTCTTCTTGGAAAGACACACTGCTTTCAGCTCAGACCCAGTTTAAACCACACAACCACTTACTGAGTCAGAAATATGTGCTTCCTTCTCAGTGCAAGCAGAGAAGACAAGGCTGTGCTTGAAGACACTCACCTGTCATTGCTGGGCAAGGCTAAACTCTGTATTTCAATTGGAATGTGGTCATATCTACTAAATTATTTTAGCACAGCCTGGCACCTGGGAAAGCAGACGTAATTATTTCTATTTCTTTCTCTTAATTTAATTTGTATTAAAATGGGACCTGTTAGTTAGAATGGAGCCTAGAAATTTTCTGGGTTCCTTATAAACACAGAATAAAAACTAACTCTGTCCATTAATGTGTCATGAGCAAATCATCCATGACTTTATCACCTACAGAATTAAATATAAAATAATATAAATATAAATATAAAAGGGGCTACTGCTTCTTGATTAAGCACTAGAAAAAGGTTCTCAGTTAAGTGTGTTCACCATAAGCTCAAGATGAGCTTTTCCTACATGAGCCAGGCAGCAGGGCCAGGTTGAAGGGTGGTACCAAGTCCAGCCTCTATGGAATGAAATCCTGAGCAACTTGTTCTGACCACAAAACTGAACCTCCACTGGACACTGAGTCAGCCTAGGGACCTTGCCAGCCTACACTGCCTTGTGGTGCTACTGTCATGCATGATTACATGAAAACCTTACTTCCTTATTAAAGCAGATAAAAATACAGTTTGTTTATTGGTCAGATTGCAGCAGCATCAAAGTACAATCCAAATGAAAACTGTCTGATAGACTGATGCGGTCCTTGTGTTTGCCTTGCTTGTCTCTGAGCAAGAATCTGGAAGCGTGCACAGGTTTCATAAATAGTTTAATGGCACTCCTCTGACTGTCTGAGATCATTAATTTAAATTACTGTCATTTATTAAACCATTGCCCAAATACCTGATTTTTTATTATTTCAGTAGTAAACCAGAAAAGGAGTCTTAGTAGGAGTGGTCTTCATTGCATGTAGTTGACATTTTTCACATTACTGTGTTCCACTCTTGACAAACAGTGACATATGTTTTGTGATAGAAGAGCCTGGTTTTATAATTATTTGCTTTTTATCTGATAACTATGAACTTTGGTTCAATGTAACTTAAATTCACCACCAGCTGTTCTGGAATTCAAATTTACAGAACTCAATTTTTTCAGAGAGATTTCTTATGTAAACTTTTATCTCTAACAACATGCATCTTTCTTCTTTGATGCTGGAATAGAAGAAGACAAATTATATGGGTGTGAAGCTCCTCCATATATATGTTAGTCATAGAAGTATATTGGATAACTCTAAATATAATTTTATGTATAAAATTTATATTCCCATGTAAAAAAATATATCTCAAGTAAATCACCCCAAATTGTAACACATTTTTTTCATTACAGTGTCTTTTACAGCCAAGTTATTCAAATGGCCTATATTGATCATCCCATTTTAAAGCATATTGATATTATGTAAAGCAGCATAGTTTATGAAATTATACTATAATGCTATTATTTTTTATAGAATTCTTTAAAATAGATTTTTACAGGAAATGCTTAGAAATTTTCAGCTGACAATATTTAATGGAAAGATAATTTTTGAAATTTGAAATATAAATTCTGAAAGATTTTATCTGCCATTTAACAAAATGGCAGATTTAACAAATTTAGCAGAACTAAAACATATTGTTTTATTCCAATCTGACTCTTATGTTGCAAGGATATTAGAGTTTAAGTATTCTGACTAAGTTGATTCAACAGAAGTACGAGTTCAAATCACTGATATATTTTGACTTTAATTTCATGTATATATATAGATAGAGAGAGAGAGAGAGAGAGCTTACTGCATTTATTCCTGAATACTTATGGACATCTTGAGCTCTAGACACTAGAATTTTTTCTAGAAAAAAATTTATTTTTTTCTGTCATATTTATCTGTGTATTGTCTCTTTTGATAAAGCTGCCTGAAAGAAGTTTTTGAAGGATGTAGGTCTTAGTTAATTGTTAACACTTAAGAATCAGTAGATTGGTAATGATTTTTCTAGATTTGGCTATACCTGTCTTTCAAATCTTGTGTTTGTGAACTATTCCAAATCACCAAAAGACACATAGATTATATCATGCTACAATCTAAATTAAGATATGAGATTACTTCCTTTCTAAAAGCATACAGTGTAATGTTTCTTAATATTGATATTCTCTGAATACATAGGTATAATGAGCAAATTAGTTTTATCATTCCTCATTTAAATGACTGTATCTATTTTGCTATTTTATCTGCAGAGGAGGAGTAATCACTTTCATTTTATGTACTTCTCTTCCCCTTTCTATTGCAGAATTTGTGATCAACCAGAACTCCCTCATCACTTACCAGAAGCCTGTGCAGCTGAAGGAGAGTTCAGCCCTGTAGGAGGGGAAAAAAAGGCAGTCAAAAGCTTCAAGGAAACTGAAAGAACAAGATCAACTTGCCCTGTTATTCTCCTTCCTATATCTTCATGGCCATTTTTCAGGAATATTTTCAGTTTTGTTCTGTTAGTGTTGCATGTTGTGAGAGGAAGCAAGCATTTGGATCACACATGGAAATAGTCTGTCACATGAAAGAGCACCCCACTTGAGACCTTGGACCCTTTCAAAAGGCCATCTGTCCTTTAATGTGAGAAAACTGCAAGTCTGCAGCAGGAAAATAAATACATTCCCAAGAATGAATCAAACAAAGTGACCTAGGAAAACACAGGTTTTAAATGGTCAGAATGTGCCCTTGTCACTTCCCATCTATTTCTGCTCTTTGAGTCCTCAAAAGCCTCATTGCCTGTCATTCTAACCCTTCCAGCTCTGAAAAAAGAGCAGTGGCAAGAAAGACTTTGGAATGTAACTACAGAGACAGAGGACATCAATTAAATAATTATCTGTGAATTATTTTCTCATCTGCAGCCCAAAACAATCTGTTCCTGCTGATAGTCCTGATGCTATCACATCTGTTAATCCAAGAATGACTTCTTTGACATCTATATATCAGTGTCATTTATTAATGATGGATTCTATTATGCTTCCCATACAGACCCTAATTTATCATTTATCTCTGAAACCAAGGACATAATTAGAACAGAAGCTGAACTAATTTGGTAGAATACTAGGGGTTGGGCCTATAAGCAGTGAAAATCTTATGGTACTGATAAAATGAAATATTGAGCAGGTATTTCGTAGGCCTCAGTAAAGACTAGAAAAAGTATAATTTCTATTCTAAGTTAGTTATCTAATTTTCAATATAATATTTTTTATATAATTTCATGCATGTCATTTGAGTAAAAATGTATTCAATAAAACTAAAATTTTTAGGAAAAGGTTGCCACAGATTTAGTCAAAAAGAGACTTCCCATGGAAAACATTGTCACCAAGCTTTTGTTTAAAATCTTCCTTCAAGAATTCATTTCACTAAGGGCAAATGCTATCAGGATAAAATACATTGATTTATGAAATCTTTTTGGAGTTTCAAAGGTTCCCAGGATTCCATAATCTTGCAGTTTAGTTCTCTCTACTTTCAGATTTCAGTTGAGCTGAAAATGATGAATCTCAGTTCTGCATGCAGTGAGATTTATTTTCTTCACAGAAATGTTGACAGAATTACAAGAAAATCTTGGGGCCAAAATTTTCCAGCTGTATGGCAACATTTGTGCATAGCACATCCATAATTTTGTATTTATTTGGGCCACAAAGTTTAATGAACCTGTGCAGATTTGAGAAAATCAAACATGGCTTCTATTAAGTTGAAGGGTTTGCTTAAATATATAAACAAAGACATATTCAACATTATATTGCCAATATACATTATGCTAATAAAGAATTACAAATTCCATTGTGAGGATGTGGCTTACTGAAGGAAGGTGTCATGAAAGGAATTTCTTTGGCCAGTCAGAATCTTGCACTAATGGATTTCTCCAATAAGGCAGCATAACAGGATATAAAAGATAAGAAACTAATTTTTTATGTATTTTTCTTCAGAGTAGTGTCCGTGTTAATTATATCATCCTGCTTCTTCCATGTGGACTTATAATAAATAATGAACAGATCCTTGCTTCTTTATTTTATCAAAGTTATTACTTTCAAGACTGACTTTTGATTAAGACAGTCTGAAATTCCATATGTTTTATAATGACCAGTTGAAAGGAAGAAACCCCAAATGTCAGAAATATTATTTTGATGCTCAGTGGAGCAGGTAACTACCATGCTGAAGAAATTCCCATTGACTTTGACCATTAATCCTCTGAACAAATACATCAAATGTTTCAAAACTAATAAAGTTTTGATTTTTGTTTAAGTTATGCCAACAAAATTGGGTTTTATTTTGGCCTTTGAATTTTTTGTTTTTTAAAATATCCATTTTAAAAATTAGAACAAAGATTACTGGTCTGTGGTATTCATAAAGCAGCGTAAGGGACTTCTAAAGTTCCAATAAGGACTACACTTAAGTAATTTTTTCAGGAACAGAAGCTTAATGCATTTCTTAAAAATTAGAAGTTTACTGCTACAAAAACAAAACTAAAAAGTACTTCTATTATTCCAATGTTTTCTGTTTTTTTAAACCAACTAGTTTCACATTCCTTAGACAGCTCAAGTACACATAGGGCAGTTGATAATAAAATTATTATATAGGCAGAATATTATATAGGCAGAAATAATAAAGCTATTTCACAGTATGAGGAGTGACCAGCAGCAAACACAAAATTACCTTGGCCCTCTGCTTGGCAATGAGACCACCCCCACTGTTTTGTCTGAAGACTTTTTTTCTCTATGAACTCAAGAAACAAGCATAGCTCAATTTTTTGCTTCTACACAGTTCAAATTATTATACCAACTGCACAAAACATTCTTATCCACCTACCTATGCAGCTGCCAGCCTGACTCTTTACACCAGAAATGCTGTCTGACTTATTCATCTGATTACGATGTGAACATGAGTGAGCACCATGTCTTTCTGCAGAATAATACATTCCATGGTGTAACACTTCAGAGAGGCACTATTAACTTATTCAGAAGATTAAGACTATGTCTTAGTAATTCAATAATTTCTGTACTATGTCAGATAGTCATGTAAGTGGATAAACTTACCCTCTTGCTGAGTCTAAAGGCCACACTATTTTAAACAGGTTAACTTCAGTTAACCTTTTTGCAGTGGTAAAAGGTTCAGTTCTCCTTTTTACAGTGGAAACTGCTTTTTTAGAAGTCAGTGTTGCCTGTTTCCTTGTTAAAGGTTAAGAGTTAAATAACACAGCACAGCGTTTTTCAGAATGTTTCTCTACTGGAATGTGTGAAGAGACTGAAAATACCCTTCTTAGAATAAAAAAAGCATTTGATTGAATACTAAACATACTTTGATTCTACATATCTGAAAGATTACTGCTTTTAACCATTTTTATTAAAACAAATTCACATTTTGAGCTATTTTGTTTTGCCTGGGCTTCAGTAAGTATCTTTGCCTTCATATTTTGAGTCTCTGAGTTTTTCTTGTGGTGTGTTTCAAGCTTAACATCCTAGAAAGATGTGTTTGATTTTTAAAGGATTTCCTTAGTTGTTTCCCTAGGCAAAGTTTTATCTGTGATGAAGTCAACAGGGAAAAGGATTCTCCGAAATGACTGTATATAGCTCCTCTGAAACTTTTTTTTGTGTCAAATCACAAATCCAGAAACAGAATTTCTTATGGTAAGGTTCAAAACCTTGCCTTTCAGACCTTTTATTCTTCTTGCTGAAAACAAGGAGCCAAGAGACAAACTCTAAACCCCTAAAAACCTGCAACTTCTGGCTTAAAGAAATAGGGCATTAACTTGACCAATATCTTTCTTTCTCTCTTACCAACCTAAAGCTAGATCAAATGTCAGTCAAAGAAAAAGGGCTGAAGTTCTCTTATCCATGTCAATGTAAACAGGGAGATCCACTCAGGTTGGCCTCAAGAGTGCACAGCTCCCCTGGGAGTTGAACTGATGTATGTGTGCCTGCAATACTTTCCTGTGCTGATGCAAATACATACATCATAGGCTTGATAAATGTTAGGAGTTGGTGGGCTGTAAATCAGCTGACATCTATAATTATTCATATTTAACTGACTCAAATGTTTCTGAGGTTTCTAAAAAGATTTAATGGCATTAATTCAAAATAACATTATTCATGCTTTAAAATGTCCATAACAGATGATGTGTTTTTTAAAAATCCTGTTTTGAAGACCTTTGTATAACAGATGGCTAAAGTCAAAAAGACTCCAAAAATAAGGTCTCTGAATGCAAATAATCTTTATATATGTCTAACCCTATGCAATGAGTCTAAATACAATTTAGAATTGTCCCTTTTCAGTAAAACTTAGTCCTATATCTGTGTATTGGCTTAAATGAAAATATAGCATCATAAATAAGGTTATTTATATATAAACATGCATATAATCATATAGATAAATAAGAAAACATAAGATCATATAGCATATATTTGATCTTACATTATGGAAGAATTGTTTGTGTCTAAACATCGCCTAGTACAATCTCCAAATCTATTTTTTCATGAGAAAATCATTTAACAAGTTATTTTAAAATAATTTCCTTTAAAAAACAAACACAATCCATAGCAGACCCAGCATTAATTTCATTACATTGTATCACTTAAATTCTCTTAAAATCTAGTGGAGCAATATGTCCTGTATAGAAGATGATTCTGCCAGAAGGAGCTGCTTCAGAACAAACTATTTACTTTGAAGTAATGACAAAAAGGTCATTTATTGTCACAGCTGAGAAGTTCTTGGATTTTTTATGAATTAAATTCACTAAGGTATTTTTGTCAAGCTGAAATAAGCCATAAGGGGCAGATGGGAATATACCTGATGGTTTGTCATGTTTGTGCAATTATTCTATATTGTGCTGATTTCACAGTATTCTTAGAAAGAAAAAAATCATGTTCAAGCTATTTTGCCCAAATAATAGCTGTAATTTCTGAAAATTTTTTTACTTTTTGACACCGATCTTCACTCCTCAGTTCAGGGGGCACACATACAGATACATTCCCATTCACTTCTTGATAAACTAAGTTAGCTGGCAGGAATTTGATTTTTGAATTAGAAAAAGACTCTGGAACAGTAGACTAAAAACTATTTGCAGGTTGCCCTTTGGCAGGATGTAGAGAGTGTTCATGCTTATATCTGTGACAGGTAATAAACATATTTTAAATCTGTTTATAAACACCTATGAAACACTCATGTCTGAGCTATCTTAGACCTTGTGAAAGAGGGGAAAAACTAGTCTCTCTTCAGGATTAAAACTGGGCCTATGTATGGAAAGAAAGTTTTAAAGGATCTGTAAGACAGAGATTGGCACACCACTGACAAAAGGAACTTCTCTCCAAAGGTAAGCAGAGGAATATCATAGATGAGCAGACCACAAAATCTCAGTAGCTATAGGCTACATAGAGAATATTAGTCAGAGTTTACAATAATCCAGATGCAGAAATATAATCTAACCTGGCAGAAGTACAAGAACTAGTGGATGAAGAATTAGTTTATTTTTTTTTTTTTTTTAATTTTTGCTGCAAAAGACTTTTACCTCCTTTGAGAACACCACTATGACCATATGAGAATAAAATCTAGGCATCTCCACCTCAAAAGATTGTTTATGCCATGTGTCTTGGGGATTTTCTAAGTTTCCTTGTTGATTCAAGGATGTTTCCTTCCACTGTATTTAAAAAAACAAAACTGAAATATTAGAAACATTTATGAAAGACAGATCTTTAATACTCTGTTAAAGCATGGGAAAGCTCTACTTGAAGGAATATATCAAAGCCAGTTTACAAATCAGATACACATGTGTGTTAACTTAAAGAAAGTCTAAGCAAATTGTCAATAAAAAGATAAATGGTGCTCTGCAACGGTTACAATTTACAGAACATTCAGACTATTTCTGGATAACTGGAAAGTCATCCAGTCCCTACAGAGTAAAATTTGCTTTACTGAATTATTTCTCTATTCATAGCAATGTGACATTATTTCTTCCATTCAATTCCTTCAATTCTCAAGCACTGCAGAACAAATACTCCCTCAAGGAGGGCATTTTTTCCAGATAAAAAATGTATTTTGTATTTTTGTATTTTTGTATTTTTTCTTCACCAGTATGAACTTAGCAAAGCTCCCTGATCCAAAACTTAATTCAAAAACTTATAGATCTATTGTAAAAATCAGTAAATTATTATAGTTACAGTAATGACAAATGCAAATTAGGTCATCTAGGAAAACCATAGCAGACAGCAGTTTGATTTCATACTTTGTTCAGTACATAAAGGAAGAGTTCATTGTTTCTCCTTAAAGAGGACTTCAAAGGGAGGCTAGGTCACTGCCAAGAAAAAAACAGAGCTCTACTCACCTACTCACTAAATATGACTTGATTGAAGAATAGGTTGAAAGAACATGTTTTACTGTGTATTGGAGAATGTTATGCTTAATTCCCTTATGACTGAAAAGTAGATGGTGCTTGTGAGTATTCTGCCTGCCAGCAGGTGAATTAGCATTTCTTACTAATTGTATTGTGATACAAGTTGTGAAAGAACAAGCTGAAGCCACATCTAAAATTTGCATCCTGTAGATTTAATAAATACTTAATTATTTCTGGAAGTCTTGGCTTATATGCCATGAATAAACATTTTCAATTATCAATATTCTTCCTGGGGGAAAAAAAACAAACAACAACAACCAAATATAGATGATTTTAAAAGCCATAGGCCTGCCCAGACATATTTGAAATTGCTTAATTTTATGGTTTGAGAATCCCTACATTGGACCCTAAGAGAGTCTAGACAGCTACAGCAATTCACTGCAGCACTTCACAGCTATTACACTCTCCGCTCCAGCCATCTTTATTTTAATTTTAAAAGATGACTTACAGTTTTTCCCAAAAGAGTAGTTAGCAAATGCTGTCTCATCAATGTCTTTTAACTATTTATTAATAGTAAGTTTTATGAAGAATATGAAACTGCCTTAGAGATGGGAAGACATGGATTGACTTTTGGGTCAAACAGCTAAGCTGTTTCTGCTATGATGAAACACTTGGAAGTTTTTAATACTTGACAGAAATAATGGCCCATGATGTGCCATCAGCTTTTAGGGGTACTTCCCCACAAATTGAGATTTGTGTATCCCTCTGCCTTTGTGTATTTTTTACATGATGGTTTCGTGTTAGACTTTATTTAACTGTTTCATTTAGTTGGTTGGTTGGGGTTTTTTTTTAAAGTT